CGACAGTAGTGTCCAGTAAACACAACACGACAGTAGTGTCCAGTAAACACAACACGACAGTAGTGTCCAGTAAACACAACACGACAGTAGTGTCCAGTAAACACAACACGACAGTAGTGTCCAGTAAACACAACACGACAGTAATGTCCAGTAAACACAACACGACAGTAGTGTCCAGTAAACACAACACGACAGTAGTGTCCAGTAAACACAACACGACAGTAGTGTCCAGTAAACACAACACGACAGTAGGGTCCAGTAAACACAACACGACAGTAGGGTCCAGTAAACACAACACGACAGTAGTGTCCAGTAAACACAACACGACAGTAGTGTCCAGTAAACACAACACGACAGTAGTGTCCAGTAAACACAACACGACAGTAGTGTCCAGTAAACACAACACGACAGAAGTGTCCAGTAAACACAACACGACAGTAGGGTCCAGTAAACACAACACGACAGTAGTGTCCAGTAAACACAACACGACAGTAGTGTCCAGTAAACACAACACGACAGCAGGGAAGAACGTGTGCGGAAGTCGGCATTGCATACGCGAAGTAGAACCTCTAGCTGTAATTGAGATATCTTTCTTTTTGGATTTTTATAAAAAATAATCTTTTCCGAAAATACTGGAAAGAATAATGTGTCCTCATTTGTCAGAAACAAATGTATGTCTTGAAACACTCTCAAACAAATATTTCAGCAACTGCTTCGATTTACTATATTTTATGTATCATATTAAGATTTCAAAACCTGAAACATATATTAGCTACTGCAAGGAATGTGATAGTCCTGCACTATGACTTTGGAATTTATATTTTTTAGGCAATCTTTTTTAGGCAAGTCTAGATCAAACTATCCTAGTCTAGTTTGCTTGATAAAACAGCAGAAGGAGAAAGGTTCTTTCGAAGAAAATAACTAAATAAAAGACAAGTGTTTTCATTGACTAAGTGTTAGTCTAGGAATTTGAAAAAAAATAAACTGAATAAATTGAGAACTAACAGCAAATTTGAAAGTACTTAGATTCAATGTACAACTCCACGTTGTGGCACTCCCGGACCAGAAGACGATTGTACTCGGAAACGTACATTGTGAAATGATCCTTAAATGTTGCGATCACCATATTTTAGAAGGAGCCATATATTCTATAATTGTTTGTCCTATTCAGACCAAACTTCAGTTATCGGAATCAAGATTTTTGTTCACCCGAACCAGTTGCAAATTATTTCTCTAATAAATCATTAAATGTTAACGAAAAACAAATATCGTCCCAGAAAATGCCTGAAAATAAAATTTTGCTTCTGATTGTTGAAAACCAAAGACATGGTTGGCCATAAAAAAGACCTTGTCGCAAGATAAAATATTTGGGCTCAAAGTTTTAATTCGAAAAAATATCTAGTTCTGCAGATGAAGCTTAACCAAATATCTAGTCTCCATACAAAATAACTTGACCAATATTAGTGATGCGTACACAGGACGTTCATTCCTGTATCTGTATTAACTTGTATTCATATCAGTCGCTTGTAACCCTGTTAAGAGTGGCTCGTTACAATTGTAACTCAATAGTTATATGTGTTTCGTTACTTCATAGTTATTGTAACGAGGTGAGACTTACATGAACAATCTAGCTGTCGGTATCTTCATACGAACATCTTGGTGCTGAACCCCAAACATTATCGTGTGACTCCCATGTGTGATTAGACCACTTTATGTTGTTATCGTCAACTTTATGCTTTTAAAGTGTTGAATTGTCATCAGTGAATACAGTGCTGGCATCCAAACACTGACATGCATTTGTTTATGAAGTATGAACGTCTGACTATATGACATGCATTTGTTTATGAAGTTGGAACGTCTGACTATATGACATGCATTTGTTTATGAAATATGAACGTCTGACTATATGACATGCATTTGTTTATGAAGTATGAACGTCTGACTATATGACATGCATTTGTTTATGAAGTAAGAACGTCTGACTATATGACATGCATTTGTGTATGAAGTATGAACCTCAGACTTTATGACATGCATTTGTTTATGAAGTAAGAACGTCTGACTATATAACATGCATTTGTTTATGAAGTATGAACGTCTGACTATATGACATGCATTTGTTTATGAAGTAAGAACGTCTGACTATATGACATGCATTTGTTAATGAAGTATGAACGTCTGACTTTATGACATGCATTTGTTTATGAAGTATGAACGTCTGACTATATAACATGCATTTGTTTATGAAGTGTGAACGTCTGACTATATGACATGCATTTGTTTATGAAGTATGAACGTCCGAAACAAGGCGGCCTATAGACACACAGGACGTTTTTAAAAGACAGACAGACAGACAGTTTATTCAGTAAGAAGGCCATAGGCCCATAATACAGACAATGGTTGATTGCATGAACTACGCATGCCAAGGAAGTAATCGATTTAAGTTTCTCTTCGCCATTGGACTTTATATAGATATAAACATGTGTTATATACAACATCAAAGTTTTCTGATGAAATAATTTCAGTAAAAGATGTTACAGTTTGAAACGTGATATACTGTTTAAGATACATATTTCTTAGGGCTGAATAACGCTCAAGTAAAACATGAAATTCATCGTCAATAAAAGATATACCATTTTCTATGCAATATTTACATAATCGTTCAGTGTATGGGACATTTGTGTATCTCCCCAAGTCAATTGCAAGTTTAAACTTGCTACATCTGAAACGAGTCATACATATTCTCAGATGTATTGGTATGGGGAGTGTAAGATATTTTTCCACATTTAACATGGATTTAAAATGTTAATAATAAAAGGTATCAGATATACTATTGATAGAACTACACCATGATTGTTGAAGGTTATCAGATAATCTTTGCTTAAAAAGATGAATAAATATCATCACATTGCCAACAGCTTGTGTTAACCATACATATCCAAAATCTAATTTAAACAAGATGTTCTTAATGTGAGTAGCCCATGTGGTGCGACCAGAATGGTCCAGTGATTTGAGCATTAAATAGCATTGGCGAGGCAGTCTGTGCTCGTCCAAACGCAGTAGCCTGCACCAATACTTGATGGCCCTGCGGTATACACAAGTTGGAGAGGGGCTCTTCCGCACTCTCCTAAAACCATTGCATTGTTTGTTGTTTTACCTGTATTTAGAAACCATTTACACATTTTATTCTGTACGTCTTCAATAATTTTACAATATGAGATGCCCCATACTTCTGCACCGTAACAGACAATAGGCACAATCATAGCATCAAATATCTTAAATAAATCTTGACAGGGTATATTACCAACTTTCTTTTGATATCTATATAATGTCATAATGGCCTTGTTACTCTGTGCAGCAGGAGTATTTAGTGCCTTAGTCCAAACAAGTTTGGGCGTGAACACAATACCTAAATATCTATAAAACAACACAGTTGCAATATATACACTATTAAATTTCCATTTTGGCATGCGTAGTTCAGGCAATCAACCATTGTGTCTGTATTATGGGCATATGGCCTTCTCACTTAATAAACTGTCTGTCTGTCCGTTTCTAAAAGGTATTTAAGTAATACACGTAAATACAGACACACACACACACACACGTCTTGACATAGTAACAGCAGTAATAGGATGACTCGGAGTAGTTTTTGTACATATTCATAAATACACACACATATACATACACATTAATACATGCAAATGATATATAATATACATACATCTAAATACACATATAAATACATAAAATTATATATATATATAGACACATACATACATACACACACACACATGAATACATACAAATAATATAAATATACACACAAGCATACAAATAAATACATATACACACATATCCATGCACATAGATCCATACACATATTAAATATATATATATATATATATATATATATATATATATATATATGGAACACATACTTGCATATATATATATAATAAAATAATAAAGTCCACGTTAGTCCATCATCTTCTTTATATCAGTTTCATACATAGTACTTTCGCTGTCTCATGACAGCTCTTCAGTGTAACTGACAGTGATATGTCAATGTCAGTAACACTGAAGAGCTGTCATGAGACAGCGAAAGTACTTTGTATGAAACTGATATAAAGAAGATGATGGACTAACGTGGACTTTATTATTTTATTATATATCATATGTACACCGAGTGAACATTTACCTCATTTTTGTATATATATATATATTTGGAACACATACTTGCAATATAGTTTTTCCAAATACTTTATGTGTGAAAATTCCTATTGACATTTTAAAAAACCCAAACCAAATTCATTAGAAAAATGTTTTGTTTATACATTATACATGTCTCTGTTAGCAGATTTTATTTGCTTTTTCCTTTTCTGTTAAGTCTTCAGGATACTTCAACCCTACTACCGTGGTATTCCCTGGCGACTGCCTTTTTTGTATAATTTCTTGGAATTCTCGTGCAGCAGTACTTCAGATTTCGGTGGCGTTTGGGGCTCTGAATTCTATCCGTTTGTGTCATAATTACATGTTTTCACATTTGTATTTATCATTAATTAACTATCGGGGTTTGTTTCATACTTTCTTTTTTCATCATATTCTTTTGTTTTTCTTTTAGATAATGTTTATTCGTGTTGGATTTGCATGTATTAGTTTCCCTGTTTTCCATGTTGGACATTAACAATACACGGGAACATCGCTCATTAACACACCCAAGCACTTGTTCCTGCCAACGGGAACTTGTCACTGCAGTTTTATGTATTTAATCTTGATACTTTTTCCTGGTCGGAACTAAATTTGGGAGGAACAAAAACATCCTTGTGTGGTGGGTTCGACTGAAAGCTTTATGATTATTGCATCTAATCATGCCTCGCAATTACATTTCTTAAACAACTCAGTTGTTTCCAAAGTTGTATGAGATAAGTTATATGTGGGTTCCACGTTTCATTAGTTCTACATTGAATGTATTTACGAGTAACATGCCTGTGTTGTTCCAGCATTGCACGAGTCGGAGGGTGCCGGGTGCCACGCCCACGACCACGCCCACGACAACCCTAACTGCCCCTCCAAGTCCAAGAAGCCCCGCAAGGCCCGTACGGCGTTCACCGACCACCAGCTGAGCTGTCTGGAGAAAAGCTTTGAGAGACAGAAATACCTCAGTGTCCAGGACAGGATGGAACTCGCGGCCAAACTCAACCTGACCGACACCCAAGTGAAGACGTGGTACCAAAACAGAAGGTGAGACATATTTCAGCTAAAAGTAATATCACTCTCACTGTGAGGGAGACATATATCAGCTAAGAGTAATCTCACTATCACTGTGGGCGAGACATATTTTAGATTTAGAATAATCTCACTCTCACTTTGGGCGAGACACATCTCAGCTAAGATTAATCTCCTTCTCACTGTGGCCGAGACACATTTCAGCTTAGAGTAATCTCACTATCACTTTGGGTGAGACATATATCATATTGAGAATAATCTCACTCTCACTTTGGGCGAGACACATCTCAGCTAAGATTAATCTCCTTCTCACTGTGGCCGAGACACATTTCAGCTTAGAGTAATCTCACTATCACTTTGGGTGAGACATATATCATATTGAGAATAATCTCACTCTCACTTTGGCCGAGACACATTTCAGCTTAGAGTAATCTCCTTCTCACTGTGGCCGAGACACATTCCAGCTTAGAGTAATCTCACTATCACTTTGGGTGAGACATATATCATATTGAGAATAATCTCACTCTCACTTTGGCCGAGACACATTTCAGCTTAGAGTAATCTCCTTCTCACTGTGGCCGAGACACATTTCAGCTTAGAGTAATCTCACTATCACTTTGGGCGAGACACATCTCAGCTAAGAGTAATCTCCTTCTCACTGTGGCCGAGACACATTTCAGCTAAGAGTAATCTCCTTCTCCCTGTGGCCGAGACACATTTCAGCTTAGAGTAATCTCACTATCACTTTGGGTGAGACATATATCATATTGAGATTGATCTCACTCTCACTTTGGGCGAGACACATCTCAGCTAAGATTAATCTCCTTCTCACTGTGGCCGAGACACATTTCAGCTTAGAGTAATCTCCTTCTCACTGTGGCCGAGACACATTTCAGCTTAGAGTAATCTCACTATCACTTTGGGTGAGACATATATCATATTGAGAATAATCTCACTCTCACTTTGGCCGAGACACATCTCAGCAAAGAGTAATCTCCTTCTCACTGTGGCCGAGACACATTTCAGCTTAGAGTAATCTCACTATCACTTTCGGTGAGACATATATCATATTGAGAATAATCTCACTCTCACTTTGGCCGAGACACATTTCAGGTTAGAGTAATCTCCTTCTCACTGTGACCGAGACACATTTCAGCTAAGAGTAATCTCACTATCACTTTGGGCGAGACACATCTCAGCTAAGAGTAATCTCCTTCTCACCGTGGCCGAGACACATTTCAGCTAAGAGTAATCTCCTTCTCCCTGTGGCCGAGACACATTTCAGCTTAGAGTAATCTCACTATCACTTTGGGTGAGACATATATCATATTGAGATTGATCTCACTCTCACTTTGGGCGAGACACATCTCAGCTAAGATTAATCTCCTTCTCACTGTGGCCGAGACACATTTCAGCTTAGAGTAATCTCCTTCTCACTGTGGCCGAGACACATTTCAGCTTAGAGTAATCTCACTATCACTTTGGGTGAGACATATATCATATTGAGAATAATCTCACTCTCACTTTGGCCGAGACACATTTCAGCTTAGAGTAATCTCCTTCTCACTGTGGCCGAGACACATTCCAGCTTAGAGTAATCTCACTATCACTTTGGGTGAGACATATATCATATTGAGAATAATCTCACTCTCACTTTGGCCGAGACACATTTCAGCTTAGAGTAATCTCCTTCTCACTGTGGCCGAGACACATTTCAGCTTAGAGTAATCTCACTATCACTTTGGGCGAGACACATCTCAGCTAAGAGTAATCTCCTTCTCACTGTGGCCGAGACACATTTCAGCTAAGAGTAATCTCCTTCTCCCTGTGGCCGAGACACATTTCAGCTTAGAGTAATCTCACTATCACTTTGGGTGAGACATATATCATATTGAGATTGATCTCACTCTCACTTTGGGCGAGACACATCTCAGCTAAGATTAATCTCCTTCTCACTGTGGCCGAGACACATTTCAGCTTAGAGTAATCTCCTTCTCACTGTGGCCGAGACACATTTCAGCTTAGAGTAATCTCACTATCACTTTGGGTGAGACATATATCATATTGAGAATAATCTCACTCTCACTTTGGCCGAGACACATCTCAGCAAAGAGTAATCTCCTTCTCACTGTGGCCGAGACACATTTCAGCTTAGAGTAATCTCACTATCACTTTCGGTGAGACATATATCATATTGAGAATAATCTCACTCTCACTTTGGCCGAGACACATCTCAGCAAAGAGTAATCTCCTTCTCACTTTGGCCGAGACACATTTCAGCTTAGAGTAATCTCCTTCTCACTGTGGCCGAGACACATTTCAGCTTAGAGTCATCTCACTATCACTTTGGGTGAGACATATATCATATTGAGAATAATCTCACTCTCACTTTGGCCGAGACACATTTCAGGTTAGAGTAATCTCCTTCTCACTGTGACCGAGACACATTTCAGCTAAGAGTAATCTCACTATCACTTTGGGCGAGACACATCTCAGCTAAGAGTAATCTCCTTCTCACCGTGGCCGAGACACATTTCAGCTAAGAGTAATCTCCTTCTCCCTGTGGCCGAGACACATTTCAGCTTAGAGTAATCTCACTATCACTTTGGGTGAGACATATATCATATTGAGATTGATCTCACTCTCACTTTGGGCGAGACACATCTCAGCTAAGATTAATCTCCTTCTCACTGTGGCCGAGACACATTTCAGCTTAGAGTAATCTCCTTCTCACTGTGGCCGAGACACATTTCAGCTTAGAGTAATCTCACTATCACTTTGGGTGAGACATATATCATATTGAGAATAATCTCACTCTCACTTTGGCCGAGACACATCTCAGCAAAGAGTAATCTCCTTCTCACTGTGGCCGAGACACATTTCAGCTTAGAGTAATCTCACTATCACTTTGGGTGAGACATATATCATATTGAGATTGATCTCACTCTCACTTTGGGCGAGACACATCTCAGCTAAGATTAATCTCCTTCTCACTGTGGCCGAGACACATTTCAGCTTAGAGTAATCTCCTTCTCACTGTGGCCGAGACACATTTCAGCTTAGAGTAATCTCACTATCACATTGGGTGAGACATATATCATATTGAGAATAATCTCACTTTCACTGTGGCCGAGACACATCTCAGCAAAGAGTAATCTCCTTCTCACTGTGGCCGAGACACATTTCAGCTATGATTAATCTCCTTCTCACTGTGGACGAGACGTGTAATCTCATTCTCACTGAGATTGAGACATATGTGAGCTATCTCTCGGGTTTTCTGAGGTGATGCATGTGTTGTTTGTTGGCGGAAACACAGCCACCAACAGACAACTGGTAGAAGTGCAAACCCCACTTCATCACCTCAATGTAATAATCTGGCATCCACTTGACATACTACTCAAATAATAATAATAATAATAATAATAATAATAATAATAGCCCTAATAATTATTATTATTATTATTATTATTATTATTATTATTATTATTATTATAACAATAACAATGATAATGATATTATTATTATTATTGTTGTTGTTTCTTAAGCGACATGATGGATTGGCTCGATCATTTTATCACCGTCTTCGCCATGCTTGTGGTTTTGACACAGAAGTCCATCCATGGTACGACCCGGAATATTTCGAGCGCGTCATGGAAAATGATAAATACAAATTTCTTTGGAATAGGCCCGTATACAGCCTCAGACGTAGTCCTGCACCATGACCGTGGAATATATTTATTTTATGAAAAAATAATAATCTAGAAATGCATACAAAAGCAAGTCTAGCCAGCTCAAGCTAGCTATATTCTGAAATCAGCATAGGGAATTTTTTTATGTTTAGAGTCAAGAAGGATATTGTGTAATATAAGATTTCAGAGACTAAATGTTAGTCTACCTCAGACGTATCCAGGCCAATAAACGCGATCTTGTCCTTTTTGATGAATCCAATGAAATCATTTTTATATTGAATTTTTCTGTCCCTTTTGACACCAATGCGCAGAAGGCTGCAGTGTTTGGGAGTCACATTCTACGGAAAGTTCTGGTGGGTTTCACTAGGCAGCGGTTCCTGGGAGAAGTCCCATTCGCTATAAGGGCGCGTGTAGAAGGGGCAAGGGCCCTGAGCTGATGATTTGCCTAACCAGCCTGACTGTGCCAGGATCACCCAAACAATCTTTGCTGCATTTTTTTGTTTTAATAATAATAATAATAATAATAATAATAATAATAATATATGGATCATAATGTTTCATCATTTTATATAAAAGTTGCATCTGTCCCGTAATGGAATGTTTGTGCAATAAATATTTTCTTATCTTATCTAAGTAACAACAATGTATGGGACAAGTTAGATACCGGAAAAAAACATACAGCAGAAGCGTCATGGCAAGTCTGTCAACAACTCGACCGGCAACGCCTTTCAACAGACACCAGGCGCCACATTTTTGATGATGACGACGATAATTACAATGACGACACGGTGCTGTGACGAGACGACCCTTCGGGGTTTCACCGTCTACCCAGGGCATGTTTAAACGTCCCTGACAACGCACATGCGTCTCTTTGGTCGCGGCCCAGGTGCTCCGGCTGTAGGTGCTGACAGCAATATATGCAGAGGCATGTGGATAAATATTTTCATCATCTTAAGATCGGTGTAGGTGTTCCCCGACCGGGAACAGTGAGAGCCATGTGTTGCCTGTAGCGAGACACTTACTGAAGTCTCCTTCAGACAATCGGGAGGTTTAATCATGGTTTAGACGTTATGTTAGCTCCAATATTGACTTAGCTTACTATTTGTTGGGGAGAAAGGTGTCCCTATGGCCGTCGTGTCGAGCCAGCCAGGGGAGCAGGCCTAATGTTATCCTACAGTTGCACCATCTTTGATGCTACATAAAGACCAAGAGAAAACATTCTGTTTAAATAGGCGGTCTCGTTTAGCAAAGATAGCGTCATGTGTGGTACTCTCGGAGATACACACGGCGTTAAACACCGATACAGCCTTCAGTTGTGCTCTAATA